CAGCTGGCCTCACGGCACGAGTTCGTTCGCATTGCCGGCCTCAGCTGCAATGATGAATGATCCTGAAGCACGCCAGCCCAGTTATGTCGTACATCAAACGCGCGTGGTGGCTATTTACGTCCGCAGTTCGTTCCCGTGCCCCAGTGAAGACCAACGCGGAAGTAACCCACCTCACGTGATGAGAGAGAAAATCTCAGATATCAACCTGGCGTAGCAAATATTGCCTACTTCTTGACGTTGGTATCAAAACAAAACCCTTCAATTTTCTCAAATTACGCTTCCTCAACTTTCCATCCAATCTGTTTCGGTCTCTGAGGACTCATCGTGCCCCACCAGGCACGGGCAGCTGCCCGCGGGGGGAGGGGTGGGGTGGCGGTGGGGTCTGCACGCGCCACCCGCACCCACCCATTATTAGCTGTCACTCACATGGCCAGTAGCGGCGATAAACATCAACTATGTATGGAGGTCGACAGCGGCGCGTCGAGCCTCACAATGGGTGGAGTGATTTGGTATAGGGATGCCGCCGCCGTGCGCCCCCCCCCCCCCCCCCCACCGACCCCACGGGCAAGTGGTGTGTTTGTGGGCAGGATAGATCAAATGATGGGTGTGTGCTGGGTGGAATGTGAGTATTGAATGATGTGGATATCGGGTTTTGCGAGGGTAGAGCTAGTACTACTGAATGCTTAAGAATGCACGAAATATGCAGCATAGTGCCTCATCTGCATAAGAGACACATTCAGGCACGCCAACATGAGAAATATGCACTCGCTTTTTAACCCGCGCCGGGCCGGTGCTCTGAGATTCCGCGCCGGGCCGGGGGGGGGGGGTGTCTGAACACCCCCTTCTAACTCGGCTCCTGGGCCACGTAGCGACACGCAGTAAGCGGCAATCGAAAGAACGTCCAAAATAAGGACGAAAACACTTCGGTCATTTTTTGGGTCAGGTCAAAGGTCAGGTCACCAGAGGTCACCAAAGGTCAAATGTCCACTATTTCAACATTTTGGAAACTGCCAACGGCTATCTCGGGAACCGATAGAGCTACAGCGCCGCGGAAAAGCGCATTCGATAGCCCTTTTACAGACCTTTCTGAGTAATGTGCTCAGATTTGACCTTAGGTCAATGGTTTAGCCTCCAGAGGGCAAAAACTAAAAAAAAACCGTTTTTACGAAAAACGTTTTTTGGCAATAACTTTTGACTCAAATAAACCACGACAATATTTTTGCCACCATCGTGTTCCTCTCGTCGAGACGCGTCGAATGAACTATAATTTGACCTTGAAAGGTCAACTTGAAAATTTGACCTCAGGTCAAGGTCATGACCTGACCGGAAAAGGTCATGTTGCATATCAGTCGATCCGCAACGTCGAGCCGAACACATCTAAGGCGTTTTCAGCGCCCTAGCACGTCTCTATCAGAAGTTATTAGCGAAAAACTGTTAGATTCTGTTCGTGACCTGAGATGACCTCGGGGACATAACGAGGGGTCACAGTTGCCATTTTCCGGTTCAGTGTGTCCATTTTACCTACATCTCGATGTTTGAGAGTGTCTAGAATAGCGTTCGTGCAAAACAGACGCTTTTCAATTTTCTCCTATTGACTTATAATTATGGAGGGGTCGCAAAATTGACCTGACCTTAGGTCACCGATATCGAAATTCCGAGATATACATTTTATAGATAATGTTGCTCTTATCAATCGCTGAAAGTTTCAAGACAATCGATCAATCGGTGTAGCTATGACGAGCATTCTTATTTTTTCTGAGGTGAGGTCACTTGGCGTGACCTGGTGACCTGACCTAAGGTGACCTTGGTCTGAAATTTTCACAACATGTGCGGAAAAGATGCACGAACAGGTGTGCCAAAAACGGCGGCGCTCCGCGCCGCCGTTTTTGAGTGCGCACGTGCAGTGCGCACGTGCGCACGTGCAGTAGCACCCCCTATTTGAGAAATGTGATAGTGTTGGATGTATTGTATCTGGTCACATACCAACTTTGAGCTCAATCAGTGACGCAGTTCTGGAGATATCATTAGACCAACTTTGTAAACACCCCTCACGCGCCACGCGCAGACCCTCCTCTGTGCCAGCCGATATCTCCCGCAGACATTGCATTCAATGTTTAATGCACGGGGCCATCAAACAGTGAAGACCGGACCTATCTGGGTGTTACTGATCTCGAGATATAACATCTGAAAGTTAGGGCCACTATGGTCATGGCCGAAATTTCTGCACTCAGTCCAGGTGTACAGAGGTCTATGCTACCACACAAAGAACTCAATTATGATCATCAAGCATTACAAGTTCAGCCTTCAATTAAGTTTTACAATAGGACAAGTCAAAAATCAGTAGCCACCTTACACATGTCTGTTATCGGCTCTCAACCAGGCCTAATTTCGGCGGTAGCTCGGCCGAGTTGGACAGCGCCGTGTCAGCTGAAGCACCCCTGAACTTGCCTTTAACTTCAGAGCCGAACTCTCTGGTGCTGCGGCCACGTCACTCGCGAGCCGTTCTCGAGGGCCCTCCGGCCAATCCCGCAGCCGGGACGGTCGGTCGGCCGGCGGCGGGCGAAATCACGGGTCTCGTCCGCGACAGGTCTTGTCTCATAGGCGTCACGGGAACAGGATACTCGTACTGCACTTCGTGATTTCGAGAAGGGGGATGACATGTTTTTGCTATATGGCTGGTGAATAAATGTCTGATACCAATTCTATCTTACCCCACTGAACGAGGCGAAGCAAAAGGCAACTGTGTATCATCCCATTAGAATTGGGTTGTGCCGCAAGTAGAGTGAAAGACAAATGGAAATATTCGGTATAAACGAAGCTTTTTTGGTCTGTTAGTCAGAATTGATGTTCAGCTATGGCTTGCCATCTTCTCTGCTAACTGACGGGTGCCTACGGTCAAATGACCATTGATCTCTTATTGGTCCATGACCGTTGGGAATACTGTAGGCACTGCTACCGTGACAATGACTGTATATGACGGCATTGACGATCAGCAAACGACCTCCCCCCTCCCCCTTCCCCGGGACCGCATAGCGTGAGGGTCAATCAGTGGGGACAAAAACGCACTGTGTGTGGGTCATGACAATTCACGCATCGGTGACAGCAGTAAATGACACGTGACACTGGGGGTCGTAAGATAATGACGCAGTGTTGAATCATCATGAGAAACACGGAGGAAAAACATTTCATTTCTTGAGGCTTTTTTCACAAACTGTTCTGTCAACGGTTGAGTAAATGGCATGGAGGATATAACTATTATTTTAGGAAGAAATACACACCCTAACAATTTTCCCTCCATCAGTTTTGAAATGATGCCAAATTGATCTTGCGAACGGCTTTCAATGCTACTTGCCGTAAAATCCCCGTAAGCTTGTATCCCATCCATATTTCGGCTAGGTGCGATTATCCTCTATCCTTTTGGCGCGATATTCTGGTGTCGACTGCCTCAAACGTTATTTATCGTTTTGTTGTCTGCGCGACGTTTGTCGCTGATTCCATTACCGTTGATTTGAAAGGCAAATATGCCGCAAAGGGACATAAATTACGGAGCCGGGAAAATTATCGGCTAGAATGCAAACGGATTTATGTGAGCTGCGCTCGTACTTTGCCAAACAAACACACACAGATAGCGAACATTGTGTTGGCCAATTAATTCTGTCGCCAGCGAAAGCAATGGCGTGGTGACATTGAAACTACGCTTTTTGAACAACAGTTACATGTAGGCATAGGTATTATATGGCTATTAGAAATTGATTTAGCATTTTTGCTTCCAATGCATGATTACCATCACAACCCATTAAATCGTGCTCAATGTTACAGCCACGAGTCTCCTTCGCTAGTTTAAAACCCCTCATTGAAAATACCTCCATAATGGCTATTTCCTGGTTCCGCATACATTCATAAATCAGTGCATGTTTAGCGGGCAGCTCCATCTAATAGTAGAGCTCCGGAATTACGACAGCCCCAGCCGATGATTTGTAACACCTGGCCGGACGGAGTCGCTGTACCAATGGTATGATTACACTATGTGACGTCATAACATTTTGCTGAAATGGCGGCCATTTGTATCCAGTCACCGCGCTGATTCATAGAGCTACCAGGAGCAGTTCATGGACACTTTGCAGTGACGCATTTCGGAATTATGCGGCTGGAATAGCCGCCTGCTTGACAAAAGTAACTGCAGGCACAAGAAATTGGTCTTGATGGCCACTTTTGTTTATGGGTACACCGACCAAATGGTATGGTAATCTTTCTCCCAGTAGAATGGCTTTAGGATGAAACAGCCACGACAATAATGCCAAGAAATGTGATAAAAAGTGTGTGCGTAAAACGTAAGGCGGTGTATCCCACACATGGGGGATCAAATTCATGTTTTACCAACGGCTTGTCGGACAAGACAGCAGCTTCGAAAAATCACCGAAGTCCTCTTATTTCTCGCAGAATAATATGCAATAGCTAGAAAGAGAACGGCAGCTAGATCCTGGGTCTCCCCTGTGGACTCGGGAAACGGCTATCATTATTTGCCGAACTTTGACAATTTGCGAAAGCTCGGAGAACTTATCCGGAAACACTAAATCCAGCCATCGGAAAACAAAACTATAAATCTGTTGCTGTTTACTCCACAGAATACAAAACTGTCTGAAATATTTTTTAAAGGGACATGGTTGTTTCTCAAATAGTTTTCGGAAACTTATTACTTTTAAATGCGAATCACGATTCCAGGACCTTCGTCTTGCAAGAAAACACTTTCATCAAATAGACTAATTAGACTCCAATTAAGTATTCAGCTCCAATGCGGCGCATCTTCTTCCCGAGTTTTCCTCGAGCCATAATTGTGAACCACTTGACTGAGCGAGACGCGAAATGTGTAAACATTGGGTGACAAGAATTGTCGTATATTTTAATGCAGGACAGTAGCATAATGAAGAGAAAATGAGCCCTTTTCAGATGCCGTATACGAGGTGATAGTTTGACTGAAACCGCCGTCTGTTTCGTTCCAGGCTCTTTCTCTGAAGATGTGCTCCCGTCGCCGGTCGCTGTGCTGGCCCCTGCCTCTGGTCGTCCTTCCCCTGCTCGCGGTGGGAGGTCCCGCAGCAGCCCGGTGTCCGGACCAGTGTCGGTGTCGTCCCCACGCCGTCGACTGCAGCTCTGCACACCTCAGCAGCGTACCCATCTCGCTCGACCCGCGTATCCACCTCCTCCAACTGGAGGACAACACGATCGCCAGCATCGCCGACTCCCTAGTCTTCTACCAGAGTCTGCAGGAGCTGGATCTCTCGGGGAACAACCTCACCACGCTGGGGGAGCAGCAGCTGTCGCTGCAGCAGCAGCTGCACCAGCTGCAGCTGGCAGACAACCAGCTGTCGGAGCTGCGCCGCGGAGCGCTGGAAGGACTCGGTCGACTGGAGAGACTCGATCTCTCCGGTAACAAACTCTCATCACTCGAGGATGGTGTCTTCGTGGCGACTCCGAGACTCCACTGGCTGAGTCTCGCGCGGAACAGCCTCCGCAGCCTCGACCACGAAGCGCTTCTCGGGCTGGGTGAGCTGGAGATACTCGACCTCTCTGGAAACCAGCTGACGCGAGTACCATCCGTTGCTTTTCGTCACCTAGGCAGACTTCGCACTCTGAAACTCGCCGATAACCAGATCACTGAAGTGGCCTTCCACGCCTTCTTCCTTCTTCGTTCGCTTCACGAGCTCTCACTCGCCGGAAACCAAGTGACGATCATCCACGCGGAGGCTTTCTCGGAGTTGCACGAGCTCCGCCAGCTCGACCTCAGCTCCAACCAACTGGACGCGTTCCCTGCGACGGCCCTGGCTCCTCTGAGGCTCGAGGAACTGGACGCCGGGGATAACCTCTTCCCATCGCTGCGACCGCGTCACCTTGACGGGTTACCTCGTCTGCGTGTGGTGCGTTTCTGCGGCAGCGAGAGACTCACTGACGTCTCCGAACACGCCTTCAGCAATAATCGACTTCTGGAAGAGGTGCATCTGTGCGAGAATCCCAACCTTCGCTGGCTGCCGCGTACTGCAGTTGATTCTCTCAGAAGACTCCGAGTTCTTAACATCGGAGGCAACGGCCTGGAGACGCTGCAGAACATGACGTCTCTCCTGCAAAGGGTGGAGACATTCAACGTATCCGGTAACCCGCTCGTGTGTAATTGCTCCGCGCGATGGCTCTGGGAGCTACCAGGGAGGGTGCCGAACGCTTCAGCCGTCTCTGAGGTACTGTGCGCGGGCTCGGGCAGACTGCTGTCATCGCTGAGTGAACAGGACCTGGACTGCGGCTGGTGGGTGGCCGCCACAATCGCAGCAGCAGCGTCACTCCTCGTTACCGTGTGCGCCGCGATCGTGATTGTGTTGGTGGTAAGGCGGAGAAGGTACCGCGATCGGAGTAGGAGTTCTGTCCTGGGTGGGACGATCTCAGATGAGAAACAGCGACCGCAACTGACGCCCGCTGCTTCAGCGAAGGCCCCTGACCGGTCAGCAGCGCGCGGTCACTCGCATTTCACACTGCTGAGCGAGGACTATGTGACCGACCGGTCCGGTGTGGGTCGAGGGGACTATACTGGAGATTGTGACGGGGACTACGCTAGGGTCTACGACGATGCGTATATGAGAGACTACTCAGTGAAGGTGCCGTCTGTGGTCGTTTAGGAGTCGAGACTGGATACTCTCGACTGGAAACTTCGTTAATGCTTGCTTCACTAAGACTGAAGTGGGCATTTGATTGATTTTAAACAGCCTGATATCCTGTATCAGGCTATGGTGGAAACTGGAAAGGCTTGAAATGTGCTCTTTGTTCTGCCTGTATTGGTTGGTGACGTGTCCGGTCTGTTGAGGAGCGGAGAAGCAGCGTTTGGAAAGGGACCTATCGACAGTTGAAACAATGAAGGTGGTGATGCTACAATCAAATAAGAAGCGTTAGGTTTTTAGGCGATTCGATATTGTCTGAGGAGATGGCGTCATCTTCTGTGACATATTTCATAACTGGTGCTACCACTTGACTGTTTGGTAGTGATTTATACAATGTGAGTGGTCGTTTCGTTGTTCTTGAATGCTTGTTTATCAATTTTCAACTAGGTAGTAACATGCATTTGTTATTGAACGTGTGTAAATGGATGGTGTTTTATGACAGTTGACCAATAATAAGTTGATGCTTTGTCCAAACTGCATTGGTGAGTATAGGTACGGTATCGTGTGTGAGGTGGTTTTATGAATACATTTTGTGCCGGATCGTAACTTGTGTGGCAGTTTTCATATCACATGAATAAGGATAAAAGATAGAGGCGCGCACACTGTGCAAAGGGCAGAGTATCAGAGTAAGCATACACCTATCGCTCGAGGAGAATCAATCATGTAATTTTCATCATTTTAGCTGTCGATGATTATAAATGCATCTATAGGATAACGACTGGAAACACTGAAAGACTTGTCTGCTTCTCGAGTCCAACTTTTTCGAGCGCCTAGGTGTCTGAGTAGGTCTTCTTTCCAACCAGCCCGTTGGCGGTGCGCAATCCGTTGGCCATTCCTGCTTTCATAACGACATAAGCTTGTTATTTTTACATCACCCTGGTCGACAAAAAGTGAAACAGAATTAATTTTGGTCCCCTGAGACACACACCGGGTATGAGAAGAGCCGCGAGTGTCAACTTAGAAGTCGCCTTAGAATACGACAAAAGGCGTCAAGCAAGACCCTAAAACGATGCTTTCTCGAGCTAACACATAGGAACCATACTAGAGACGGCAAGCCGAGATCTCATACCTGACCTGACCAGACTGATATAATCGAAAGGCTGTGATTGCACACCTGATATGCCACATCACGAGTGCTCCACACTTCGAAGTTGATATTTACTTTCTCAGCAGACAGAAAATAAGTTTCTTCCAAGTAACTGATCGACTTTTTATTTATAACATTACTGTTTCAGCTGCTTTTTTTTTTGCTCATGGCGTGATGCTTATTTTCATACATTCAGCGGCAGTGGAATGTGACCAGTATTTATTGGCTTTGCAGGATGCTAACGTGGGAAATGTGTTTCCACACCTATTTCTTCCGCAATGTGCTTTTTTAACATAAATAGCGATATTTATATTGTTGCTATATAACACTTCATATTTTCCCACTCCAGTTCTCGATTTTTCCACAGATCGCATTATTTTGCAAAACGAAATTGCTAGGCATTTTCAAGACGGCTAGTCAATTACCAAGTGGCGTTTCCAGTTGACAAGTCTTGGACACAAAACTGAAAGAAGCCCCAATATTCCGAGACATGTTCTGAAGTTGGACGCATTGCTGTCAAACACTTGAATAGTCCTGCCTCATTTCATAACCATCAGAACAGTCAACATTTCACAAAGCAAAACTTTTATCAGGAAACGACGTACATTTTCAATTTATGCGAGAGCTGTCAACAAACTTTGTTCATTTAAAATGATAGGATGACGTTGACTTTGCAAGTGCTCCGATCGGTCAGAAACACATATTTGATTTCAAAGAATACAATGCAAGTTTTGTAGCAAGTACCACACTTTGACGATAAAATCATGAATGAAATGGACTATGGAGCAAACACGGGAACAAAAGTCTTTTAGAACGCAGTCACGCAATTGGAAGGACTTATATTTGAGGATTGTAAGCATAAGCATCGTTCAGAGCGTTCTACGAATTTCTAGCCTCTATTCTTTCAGCGCCATCAGATGAAGTGGCGACGGTAGGAAGACAGCAGGCCGTCTTGCTGCCCTCCCCTCCCCTCCCACTCTGACGCCTGGAGAGTTGCTTCACCCTGTGACAGCAGGGAGACAGGACGACACACAAGAATCTGTGGGATGTGCCCATGGATAGCGGCTGTCACCGTAAACTACCCCGCGGGCAGCTACCGACAGGCGACAGAAACGTCAGCAGAGCATGTAGAGAGAGAGAGAGAGAGAGAGAGAGAGAGAGAGAGAGAGAGAGAGAGAGAGAGAGAGAGAGAGAGAGAGAGAGAGAGAGAGAGATGATAGAGATGAGAGAGATGAGAGAGATGAAAGAGAGAGAGAGAGAGAGAGAGAGAGAGAGAGAGAGAGAGAGAGGGGGGGAAGCAGAGACAGACAGACAGGCAGACAGAAAGACAGACAGACAGACAGACATACAGACGGACGGGCAGATCAACCAGACACAGACGCTGAGGACAGCGGAGATGGTGAAAGGAAGGGGGCAGAAATTCCGCCACATCGGCCCCAGTATCACGTGGCATGGGCGCGCCCGTCTGCCATGCGGCCACGTGCGGCGGCACGTGTGTAACGTGGCTCGTCCCTGCGCCTGTTCGTGTCACCGTCCGAGGGTGTGACAGGGCGTGACGGGCCGTCAACTTGGACACGTGCTGCTGGTGACGGCCGTGTCAGATTTCCAGACAGAGGGGGAAAGAAAGGTTAGAGGAATGGGGAAGGGTGGCGGATGCACCCGCAGCCCCATGATGGTCCGGTGGTGGTTGGGAGTTAGTGAGCCGTTGAAAGTCTAACCCAAAAAGATGACCTAGTCGATGCAACGAATCGACGTTGAATCATTTTCGTGATTCATCAGTAGTTGATTTCTATAAGTGGTGGACTCTTCAAAAATTTGTTCGTCCAGGCAACCGTTTGCTTTGGATCCCTCCGCAAGTTACGGATAAACTGACCAGATTTTCAGCAGTAGGTAAAGGCCTGGCTACACTATGCGTTTTCTGCGTGCGTTTTTGCAGGTTTGCGTGTTTTGCGTAATATCGTTCTAGGAAAAAAGTTATAAACAATATAATTTTTACTTTGGTTATATACAAAAGCTAATATAACTCTTATGTAACTAAAATTTAAGTTGAAAAACATCACAAAAACGTAATATCGTTCTTTTTTCTAGAACGATATCACGCAAAACACGCAAACACGCAAAAAACGCACGAAGAAAACGCATAGTGTAGCCAGGCCTTAACAGTGTCGCTGCTTTGACTGAATCGAAAACACACATCTGCTTACTTACGCAAAGAAATTTCGTGTAATGGTTCCTTCAAGATTTACCGTCTCGGAAATGGGCGCCATCACTGTGTTTGCCATTGCAAACGACGCAACTTAACCGACACCAGAAAACACGACGCACCCAAAACAGGTTCATCGGCGCAAACCACCGGCCGGGGACTGGGCGTCGGCTCAGCTCCGACCGAGAAACCTACCTCACCACTCGGAGTAAACAAACGGCTGGCTTTAGCCACACGCCGCCCTGTTTTGCTCAATGTGCCAATTCCCAGGTTGGTCATTGGGGAAGGCTTCAAATGGGTGGTGTGGGCCAGACCGAACTATTCCTCTTTTTCTCTCTGGCTCTCTCTTTGCTTCTTTCTGTCTGTCTGTCTGTCTGTCTGTCTGTCTGTCTGTCTGTCTGTCTGTCTGTCTGTCTGTCTGTCTGTCTGTCTGTCTGTCTGTCTGTCTGTCTGTCTGTCTGTCTGTCTGTCTGTCTGTCTCTCTCTCTCTCTCTCTCTCCCTTTCTTTCTCTCCCTTTCTCTCTCTCTCCCTCTCTCTCCCTCCCCCTCTCTCTCTCTCTCTTTCTCTCTCTCCTTCTCGCTCTTTATCAGCCAACAGGGCGGAACGAAAGAGAGAACACTGCGAGGCAATCGGACCGGGAAAACTGCCCCCAGGTGACCCTAGTAGTTTCCGGTCAGGACAGACGAGCTAGGCTCAGTGGGCTGGGAAGTGATCTTCAGCAGTGGCTCCTATTTAACGTGAAGTTTCCTTTCTCTACACCTGACAATGGTGAAAAGAATGCGGCTGCGCTACATTTCCATAAGATGTAAACTTTAAAACTACAAGAAACAAGAAACTGCCCGGGATTCTGTGTTGCGAAGATTCCATTGGGCGAGTTCAGCCGTCACTCTCCATGTTTTATCATTTAGACACCCTAGTGGAGGAGTTTTTTTTTCGCAAATGTCACTCGAAAAAAGTTATTTATTTTCATTTGCTTCACTCACTCTAGTATTTTCCTCTATCTTTCCTTCCTCAATACAGCGCCCATGGTTTTCCTAAGTTGATGAATGATCTTTTTTACCCTTTCCGTAAAACATATGTATGAACCACGACCCGAACTGATGATCTCTGCTCCTCCTCGGCCACAAAGATCACATCAGTCGCAGGATTCATCACCGGGCCCATATTGTGGCGTGGCGCGGCAATGGTCCTCGCCACAATGCGTTCTTTCAGCCCACACTATGGAGCACACTCTGTCATTGTGGTGGGTCATTTGTACCGTGTCTCCCTCGCTAGGTCATCAGCCGTCCCGCCCTGTCAGTTAGCAGCGTCAGCAATTTTCGGCGTGACGTCATAAGACCAACGGAACCGCGGTGGTCGTGGTAGGACGGAAATCCTTGATGATGTCGGTCGCTGTCGTCGAGGGCACCAAGATGGTACTTGGCATCAAGTTCAAGGGGAAGGTAGCACAGAAATGATGGTGGGCGGTGGCCATTGGGGCGAGTTTTCTCATGGAAGAAGCGTTTTCTATACTATTTTGACAAAGTGAATAATGTTTGACACCATCAAATCCAGTTTCAAAGGTCTTTAAGAAAAGGATTGTGATAGGTAATAGACAATATTATTCTTGCTGTGTGAAAGAACACCACGTTATTTATTACCTACACTATGAAAATAGTTTAAAAGCAACTATGCCACTAACTAATCATTTGTCGATCATTCAGGGCATATTTTAACAAATTTTTACTGCGTCCCAAAGTTGAGCAGAGGGCACGCGCTACGACTAAGGGCACAGGGCAAGGAACAGAGTAGGGCACTGAGGAGGGCAGAAAGTAGGGCACGGCAGATTACAGGGCATGGCACAGGACATTTTAGAGGGAAGGGTACAGGTCAGGGCACACAGCAGGGCACAGGTCAGGGAACCGGACACGGCACAGGGTAGGGACGCAGTGGGCCAAATCAGCAGGGGCTATACGTCCCAAGGCGAGGGGGCTGCGTCCCAGAATGGGACGCAGTAAGTGCCTTAAAATATGCCCTGCGATCATTGGAGCTATTCGATTGAGATATGGTGGAGATTTTTTCATACGGAAATAGTTGAAATGCTCGAAAGGGCAAAACAGAATTATTTGACGAAAGTGTGAGAGCATAAATACAGAGACAGAGAGAGAGAGAGAGAGAGAGAGAGAGAGAGAGAGAGAGAGAGAGAGAGAGAGAGAGAGAGAGAGAGAGAGAG